CGTGTAATAGTTATAGATATTTGCTGAAAATATTATTCCGCCCTTAAGTAAGTCAATTTTGACAAAAACCACTGATTCGTATGTCAAGAAACAAGGCAGGCACGGATCCACAGGGAGGGAAATCCCCCCCTACAATTTTTCAGTAACTATTAACTAAGTAAATATTAACTAGTCACAAAGCCTTCACGCAAACATATTTTCAGATAATCATTAAAACGAATAAAGTCGTATGGCAGCATGAGCTGAGTGTAGCTTCTGTCACTTTACAAAATACGTAATATGAATCATTCGAACAAAATATTTTGAATTTGCCTTCCCAAAATTGGTCTCTGGATTCACCCTTGGACAAGGCAATGGTAAAATTCCTAGATTAATAAAAAAAGGCTTACAAGAATCACATGGGTGGGGTTTGCTAATTATTCATACAATTCGTTTTTGTAATATAAAAGTCTGGGAGCTATAAGATGTATTTTCTCAGAATATTATGCCATGTCTCAGGCGGGAATGAACATGCCCAAAATATGCTCAAGAGCAGTTTGAAGGCTGACTGAATTGGAAAGAATTCTAAACGTATAGCACAATGAACTTAATTTTGTGTTCAATTCATTAAAATTTTGATATATTAACATCAATCAATGATACACTGTTCTTTTTCAGTGGAGTAATGTTTACTTGAAATTAATAACTGCATTGAGGTTGTTTTCTTTTCTTGTTACTATTCATTCTATTATTAAGGAACCAATTTGAAACTTTTGATATTGTAATATTGTAAATAAATTGCACATTGTAAATAAATTCAAATGGCCCCTTCTCCTCACAGATATTTAACTATTGCTTGGGATGGGCGACGGAAGAGGAAACATATTTTGTAGTACGTGAAATGCACACGTACGGGAAACGCAACTGTCTCTGAAACAATCAACAACGAATAATACTCAAAGCTCTCATATTTTCATTGAAAGATATTTTATTTGTTGGAGTTTTATCAATTTCTATGTACAATGTATACTAGTTAAGCATTTTGTCTAGAAAAATAAGTTTTCAGTCGACACATGGGCTTCTTTCTCGATGGAATTCTTCATAATTCAAAAGAGTGGCTCCAGGGCCCCAATTCATACTTTTATTTCATGAGCAATCTTAAGTATAAAAAGTATGGATCTTGCCTCACGAAAGCTACATGGAGTCACCTGTCTACTCCATTAATATTGACTTGGCCTACTGAATCTGTAAAGCTCCAGTAGTTCTTCTCATTCATAAAACAAATTTTCCTAAATACCATGCACTTTATCCTAAATTTATAATGGGATTTCGACCGCAGTTTGAGAAGTGTTGGAGTACTGTGATAATGGTTTCCATGAGGGTGTAAATATTATATAGTAAATGTAAATAAATCAGTACATAAAAACTCCGAGTTTGTGTTTCATTCGTATCACAACAAAGTCACAATATTCAACAGACCCGTAACATCTTTAGTCGTGAATTATATTAAAATTAATAATAATACTAATACTAATAATAATAATAATAATAATAATAATAATAATAATAATAATAATAATAATAATAATAATAATAAGCTCTAAACCCTCTCAGTAGAATGTTAAGAGATTCAGGGATGGGATATGAAATCACCAAAAATCTCCATATCCTTATTAATCATCAGTTCTACATGGACGATCTCGAGTTGTACGCCAGAGATAAGAACCAGCTCTCCTCATTGCTTGAACTTGTTAAGTCCTTTAGCGACTCTATTTGTATGGAGTTTGGCATTTATAAATGCGCTGCAGTGCACGTGAAAATCCTTGATCCTGACAAACTGATCCTGAAGTGTGGCACAAATATCCAAGAACTTGGGCAAGAGGATACCTACAAATATTTAGGCCTGCACCAACTTTTGAGCACAAATGAATCACCGATGAGGTGTGGTATTAAAAATAAAGTTGTTCAAAGAGTCTCAAAAATCTGTAAAATTCTTTTAAATGGAAAGAACCTCATATCAGCTATCATCACTTAGGCAGTACCTGTCACTGTCTATTCATTGGCTGTTCTTCACTGGTCAAAAACCGCACTACAGAAGCTTAATCGAAAAGTTAGGATCACTCTTACCAAGTATCGAATGCACCATCCCAACAGTTCAATGACAAGACTATATTTACCTCGGAACGAAGGAAGAAGAGGTCTTCTAGATTTTGAGTACTTATGTGCGAAGCAAATCAACAATTTTCGCAAATTCATCCGCCAGAAACGACGGTCATGCATGAATCAATTTGTGCCACGGACAATAATTTTACTCCACCGAACCTGAATCAGGGGGACTCTGAAAGACCATGTATCACGAAAGAAGATAGACTGACAGTGACGTTTGCACGGCAGGTTATCTGCTGAACTCAAAGGAACCCCGTGAATATGGCGATCGTCAGGTCTTCCTGGCGTAACAAAACTTTGGCCTCTTTGCTTGAGACAGAAGGCTTCGTCATTCTATTCAGAACGAAGTAACCTTCCACTCCGCAATTACCCAAAAATATGTAATTGGTAGGTATGAGAAGCAGAGGACCGCTCCGCGCTTTGCAATCAACGGCGCGAAAAACCCTCCAACAACATCATGGGCGGGTGTGTCTGCCTTTAGCGCAGAGTGAGACATTAGATACTGCTGCTACAGATCTTATGTTGCTTCGGTTGTCCATCATGCCCTGGCTGCAAGAAGGAGGATGATACAGATAGAGGTGCCATACTAAAAGTTGCGAGTCGCGTATGTCTGTTTGAGTCGAAACGTCGAAGCTTTTCGAATGTAGCAGGTCACCGCTGATCGCAGGTCGAAGTCAACAGACCATTAGCATAATATGGATAGACAAGGCCTGTCACGGAAAGGGATTATAGTCGAATAGCTACCCTTCCTTTAACCGAAATATAGTTGCCTCTAGGTGCGCAGAAGATATATATATTGATCCTCGCTATTGAAACTGAGCACAGCTGTGGCGGACTTAGTATCTGTTGAAGTATCCTGTTGGTCATCTCGCAAATGGACTGATCTCCGAAAAACTAATTTCATCTCGCAAGGTTGGCCTTAAGAACTGCTCATTTTCAAAACAATGTAAAAGGCTGTTCTCTTGAGTATTGCACCATCGTTAGGAAGCTTTCTTTGATATTACTGACCGCCGAGTTTGCAAGCGAAGCAGGCACCTTGGTTCTACAAGTTCCCGGTGTCTGCTATAGGACCTCGCTAAGCGAGGACTGTGCAGAATATTAATAATAATAATAATAATAATAATAATAATAATAATAATAATAATAATAATAATAACAACAACAAGAGCTGCGGAATTAAGGAAAGGATTAACTTTGACTTACCCCTCCAGTACTGGAAGTACTGCTATCCAAAATAGGATCCACACTTCTCGTTGATTTCAAAAGCCACTCCGACACTAAAAAGAATAAAAGAGCAACATTAGTCCAGACACTACGGGTGTGAATGGTTTTGTTACAGTATAACTATCTTATGTGGAGAGTAACATAGAAATAATTTAATTATTGATTGAGAATGAATACGATTGTGTGCTTGATATGATTTCTTGTCATATGTACTTGACAGGTATACAATATAATACGCTAATAATTTTGTAGCAGCACTACGTATCACTGTCAGGATCACTAACGTAGCTATCTTTAAATGAAGAATGGTCTACAGAATTTCTTATGCGGGGTCTGGAATGCTCAATTTCAATAATCTAAGAAGAATGAGGATGATCACTATGATTGTTCAAAGCAACTTTTCGACAACGTATTAATAGAAGAAGAATCAAAACTCATCGAAAATGACGAAGAATAGAAAATAGCGTAGTCATACAAAAACATTGGTTTCGGTGATTATTTTAATAACTGTTCAAGAAACAAGCTATTGCATGTTTCATTTTACGTTCTCATAAGTACGTAGTATAGTGAAAGTGTTTTAATGCTACTGCGAAGAGCGTGGGGCGAAAATGTGGGTAAATCTACATGGGTAAATGTGGGTAAATTACTTCCTCTAAAAGATCGAACATCGCTGTCGGTAAATTTACCCTAAGTAGGGGTGGACCATAGAAGATGTGTACTGCCCGAAATACAATTCAGCTTTAGAAACCATGAACCACAGTCTGGATCAATGCACTTTTACTATGCTATCAAGAATAAAGCGTCATGGCGAGATCAAGAAATTTATTGAGCGAAAAGTGAAGCGAAAGTCGGAAACCATAGTGTCCACGCAAACCTCGTTCCGTTGGCGAAAGGATTATACTCACACCTGGCCTAGTAACAAAAAGCCAGGAAGGAGTTCACGTGGACACCGTGACTGTCTGACACGAGTATGGGTCTAGACTTCTAGAAGCAGGCGAGGAAAAGGTAGTAAAATACCAACGCCAACATCCTACAAGAGGTAGTTGAAATCTATGGGGGACTATGGCAAGGTCCACAGCCAGTGAGCGCAAGGCGTTGGAGATCTCCTCTGGGCGATCTACTGACTACTACGAGCAAATAAGCTCTAAGGAATACTATTAATATCTACACTCATTTTGTGAATTTCGATGGGGCACTTTAGCAGTGATGTTAGAGAGTTTAGAAAAGGAATCTCTGGGTAGAAAAGGAGTCCCCTGAGAATAGTCTACGGAACCCAATGGATCCTAAAATGAGTAGGAATAACATAGTTACGCCCTTGAGTGAGATGTGTATGCTATTTAATGTTGCGTATGTGAAATAAGTATTCAGAATTTCCATTTTGTGGGTCCTTGAAACCGAAAATTACGTGATGCCAATATGCTAGCACCAGACCATTTTCTCCAAAACAGATGCTCTACGAACGATCTGATCGAACTCACACTACGAATTTGAAACGGATATTTTCGTTTTTGGGGGGTACTTTACATTTATCCATAACATTTTCACAATAAAAAGAAATTCCAAATTTTTTGATTACATATTTCCTCGGAGAGCAAAGGGCGCTAAAAATATTCGCAGATTTCATTTTCGTTGAACTCTGAATTCGTTTAACTTTTTCGGCATCATTATACAACTACAATACTGAAGATATACATTTTTTCCTGAATGAAATCTGGTCAGAAGACGATTCAAAGATCATTAAATAAAATCATGTCCAGTTTATCAAAAACATTAGATTTCGCGTAATTTTGCATGAAATATAAGCACTTTTAAGCAATCAATTTCTGAAAACTGCATTTTTCTCCCATAGAGCAAAGGAAAATGGCACAGATCCCGCTTTCGGTGTACGATCGTAGACACACACCTTAAATATATATTTTATTCTTGAATAGAACAAGCGAGCAGAGTTTATACGTCATGCTTTTTCCTTTGTGTTAATCCAGCCCTTTTTTGGCCTCATCCGGCGCAGAAATTTGAGTCCGGCCTAACAGTGTATAACATTGATTTTATTAAAATATAGCACAGCAGTGTACGTTAATTTTATTTTAAAATGTCTATTTAAATACCATACATCTCATCTGCATCTTACAATTTGTTAGGACAAGTTCTCAACTAAGATCCGCAGGGCTCCAAGTTACGTAATTAACAGTTCACTATAACTTCCTAGAACGCATTGTCTGAACATTGTCTGTGCATGAACACTGTATTTTCATACACACCAAATAGTGCTGCTACAGAATGGCATAGATATTCTCGTACTAGTTAGTTTTCTAATTTCTTTGGTCTGGACTAGCTTTTTGGTCTTGCCCCATTCTTTGCCCAGCTGTCATTTATCGCTGCCCAAAGTACATTTTTTTAAATCTCAATTTTTCGGTTTTCTAATGGCATAACTGAAATATTATTTTAAGAATATTATAGAGGAGTAAAAACCTCGTCCTATTGAGAAGATTTAGTTGAAAAATTCGTTAAAAGACGTTTTAAAGGAAATGTTCAAGTGTAACTGTAAAATTTGAAGTTCTTTTTCACAGACAATGAGTTTACAAGAAATTTTATTGAGTCATTTGAAGCACTTCCATTCACAAATTTAATAATGTATACAAATCGCTGAAAATGTGCGTATTTTGGACGCTAGAGATTAAAAAAAAATTTTTTTCGTAATTTTTGAAAAACCTGAAGAATACAGCAAAATTGCTTTTATGTCATAAGAGTATTATACATTACATTTAGCACTAACCGTATAACAAGTTTCAAGAAAAATTTGAATCGATTGTTGAGAAAATGGCGACTGAGCTTTTCTGAAAATGGAGAAATTTGAGCTCATTTTCACAGAAAACTTTTAAGAAATTTTATAAGGCAACATTTGAAGCGTTTGTTTTAACAAATTCAATAATTTATACAAATCGCCGGTAATATAAATGTTAACGACGTGGAGAGATGTCAAAAATTACAATTGTGTAATTTTTGAAAAAACAAACAAAAGAAGCAAAATGGCGTTTGTCATTTGTTACAATACGTATAGCAACAAGCTTGCCAAAAAAATGGAGCCGTTTTTGAGAAATTGTTTTTGATATTATTTAATATTGCACATATTACTCGATTTTTCGCGAAAACTACTATAAAAACTGTATCTGACCTTCATGAAAGAATTAACTATGAAGAACAAATTCCATTTGAGGAAAGAAATCCCATTAGCGCTATCATCAATTTTGTTGAAGGAAGACGCCAGACAAATTTCAAACTTTTTGCAATTTTCGAAAATTCACAGTTAACAGTGAAAATCGCACCTATGTTACCTTTATAGGTGTAGTTCACGCTATTCTTACAATCAACTTTAAAACATTTTGCAGCCACTTTTGAGAAAATGTTGAAAATGTCCCAGGAGCTTCATGTAAAATAAAGTTCCAAATCCAAGAGCTTCGAGAAAGTCAAGATCGACCGGTGAGTATTCAGTATGGAAAAAAAATCTACGGTTTTTTAAGGTCGCTTTTTAACAATCTGGTCATATAGTTCTGTCGCAATACCGCTGTGAATGTTTTAACTATAGGAAGGACACGCAAGGACAGCACGAACACACAAACATCCATGCCCGAGGTGGTATTCGAACGCGCGACCCTTCGAGCCGAGGCAGCTACGGCCTTAGCGACCTCGACTATCCAGGCCGGCAATTCTCTGTTTAGTTTAGGCGCTAACGTGTTCACAGACAGGCGGATGGACGTTCTGAAGAAAAAACAAAACATTTGAACAGGGCCAGAGAGTAAATGCAGTAAACCCACCAATACAGCAACGGGCTGAGAACGTGGTGCAATACCCGGGAAGACACCAAACACCGGAAAGAGCGCCAGATGGACGCTCTTTGATTTCAAAATGATTTCATATACATCGATATTGCTGCAATATCTTGAATATTGAATGTCGTTGAACGGAAACTATATTCCTGATATTATGAGATCTTTTCCGAATATCTGTGGGTTGAGCAACCGTGTAACTTAAGCACGAGCCGCCACTGCGTGAGCCAGTGGTTTTCAGATGCAAAAATATGATTGGATCCTTACATCACGTACGACAGCAACGCAGCGGCGGCGTAAACAGCGCGAAGAAGTAAATTCCAAAGGCGTAAAATCCAGGATTTCAATACATCGTGAACATAGGAAAACTGAGGGACCTATAAAAAACTTGTGTAGTTGGTCTCCTGAATAGGAATAGAAAGTTGAATGTTCTGCATGTAATCAAATGCTTCAGTAACAATGGGCTTTTTATTCTTTCTGCTCTCTGGGTTGGAAATATTTTTGTTGTAATAGATTGCTGATGCTGAACTGTTGAAATAAAATGCTGATTTGAGTTTATAATAAAACTTCTTAGATTTTTTCAAAGTATCATTTATTCAGCTGCACTATTCATCTTTGCCGCTGAATTTATTAGTGTGCACATTCCAGCTTTACTCTCAATTCTGCACAGGTACAGTAGCAAACAAATTGTGGTCCACTGAATCTGTAATAATTGTAATTAGCCCTGAAGAAATTGGCAAAAAAATTGTACCTGCACTTTATATTTGGATATTTTATCTACAACACTTGAAACATCTTTGTTACATTGAATTGGGCATCCAAGTACTTCAGAAACATACAAGAATAATAATTCTTCTTAAAAGGATTGCCATCAATAAGCTAAAATCATTCATCTTCAATAGTGTTGTTTTACAAGAGGTTCCAAAAAATATCAATCTCTGGCAATTTTTGAAAATTCATAGTTAACAGTGAAAATCAGAGCTATGCCATCATTATATGTGTATTTCACTTGATTCTAACAAGAAATTTAAAGGAAACATTTGGAGCCATATTAAAGGACCTTTTGAAAACGTCCCAGGTTTCATGTAAAGAAGTTCCAAAATTCAAAGAAATCATTTCAAAATGGGCTTCAAGTGAGGCCAGATCGATCAGGAAATATTCATTTTTGAATAAATTCTATGGATAGTTTAGGACCTAGTGTTGTTCACAGGTACATCATCAGGCAGATAGACAGACAGATGATTGAACAGATGTCTAATATTTCTCCATGTATACGAGAAATTAAAAAATGTTAAATGTCACTTTTCATATGCACTGATGATATATCATTCTGATAGATTTGTAACAATTATTAACATCTTGAACAAACAACAATTTTATGATTTTCTCACCTCTCTGAGTAGATGATGAGGAAGAGTAGCTTCCTTCAGAACGTCCCTGAAAATAATATCAAGTACGTTAAAGAAAGAGAAAATAAAATTCCATGAATTCCTCAATAATAAAAATTTCAAGTAATGAATTTCTTATTTACATACGTGTTCACTATTAGTCGTCCCGCTCAATTTATTCGAATGGTGCTGCACATCATAGTTTCTTTTGTTACCATAAATCCAGCCTAGCAGTATGAAATAAAACGCAAGAAAAATATTAAAAATTAATAAAAAACATCTGCATTAACAAAAAAAAGGTATGCTACTCAAACGACTAAAAAGCATTAGAGGAGAGTACATTTGAATTAATAACAAAACCTTGGAAAGTTAAAATCAAAGCAAAAAATCAGCTCACCCCCCTCTGATACTTTGGTGATGTTACTGAGAAGAAAATCTTTATCTTTTGCTTCAAGATGCAACATTTCCCGAAGAATGTCCACCATATGAATATGTGCTTGAGACTGAGCTCTCAGGTAGTAAACAACGACACTGGAAGAATTAATATACTTTAGAAATATTTATTTATATAATAACTTGTTAATGTTAATAAATTATCAATTCTCACCACATTCCAATTAATATTCCAGCCACAACACCTGGCTTTGTGATGTACACAAAAACTTTGATAATTGCATGATCTTGCTTTAGTTGAAATATTTCTTCTAATATCATTTCATACATACTTGGATACCCACGAAATGGACCACAATCAGAAGCTTTCACACTTCAAAAAGACATGATAGGCACAGATTAACACACATATACGAATAACTCAAAGTTATATTTAGAGAACTTTAACGTATACATACTTCATGAGAATGTATCCATACACTATTATTACACTCAACATGGAAATAAATGATAGGACTAGAAACACTGTTTGTGTTTGAGCTGCACGCCATGAATGTTCTGATGGCTGACAGTTCTTTAGAGCTCCAATCTAGATAGACACTACAATCCATTAAGGTAACTAAACAAAGTAAAATACTAAGCAGGTAAATAAAGAAAAGTAACTATACCTTTTTAATGTAAAATGTTATGAACATTTTAATTATAATAATAAGTGATGCTGGAGGACAGAAAAAAAATCCCACAAAGAAAAGTGTCTCATTATAAATTAAATTTAATGTATTTCTAGCAATATCAAATTCAGGCTGGCCGATTTTTCTCCACAATGTTCTAAAAAAGATACATACTAAATAAAATAAAATCATAACTAACTTAACTAACTCACTTAAAAATAAATTTACTTACAAGTAGATTCTTTTGCGGACAAATTCTGCCAGTGCAGTTCCAAGAATTGCTATTAGAAAATCCACGAGAATAAGTCTGTAAACTTCTTGTCCCAGAGATGTTTCCCAACACTAGAAAATATTTTGAATTGTATTAATAGCCCTTGAACGGTTATTAAGAACAAGGAAACATACCTCTTGAGTGTCTGCCTTTGATCGCTTCAACCAAAATGCCAGAAGTACACTGATGACCACCATTCCTAACTGAAACGTTCTTACTAAGGTAAAATAAAGAGCAGTGCGAGGTTTTCGGTACTCTTCAAATCTATAGTATGAACAAAGCATTTGTATTGATTACTAATTGTACCTTCCATTTTGTGATGCATAAAAATAATTAACTATAGGTGAAAAACATACCTAACAATCCAAGAAAATATTACTGGTGAGATCATCATTATTATTGTGACAATAAGGGACATCATCATGGAACTTTGGTATGTTCTCTCTTCATCATAACCCAAATTTGCACTTAATAGAAACCATATTACACCACCAGTAAATATAAGTATAAAGGTACTTAATATGTGTACACAGATTCTCACTCCAATAATATGACATCTCATTTTACAGTTTTGTGACATATCAGATTTTTCATCTTCACTCAATAACTCCTAAAATTAAAAAAAAGTATTGCACAACACATTAAACAGAGAAAATCACTCTCAATTCACAAATATATATTTTCAATACATGAAATGGTTAGATGCTTTTGGTTGTAACTGAATAATGTAGTAACATGCAAGTTAATTGGAAAATGCTGGTGAAACCAAAATTTCTTTATTTTCAATTTAGGGCAGATTAACAATGAAGTGTAAGAAAGGATCATCATTATTTTTTTTATCAACATCTTGCAACATTCATAAGCATAGATTGAATAAACTTTTAATCATAATTTCATCATCATGATCATTAAAAAAGCCTTATCTACATGAGATATTCCAATGATTGGATTTAAATTAAAGTTCCTTTCATGCAAATTGCTCAAATCTTCTACTGAATTTAAAACAGGAGACTTTCCAGGCTTCAGAAACACTATCATCACATTGCCTAAGAAACATTCTCGCCTATTTTTGAAAATGTAACAAGGCTTGAGATCTTTTTGGAAAGTTGTGGTATGTACACTTCTCATTTTACCTATCACAAAAACGACAACTAAACTCAAATAGAAACTCAAGCACCTGGCACCTGATAGGCAATGGATTTTGAACTCCATATAAACAAGAACATCAAGAATCAAATAAAAGAACCCAGAATAATGATTGTTCTGATTCATTTGAGCACATGGTACACATTTCAGAGAAACCTTTTCAATGATTTGATGTTCAAGATCAACCTTATTTAAATTGTGTATTAGATTACTGACATGTTAATTCATGTAAACATTACTTTTTTATTTGAAGAACTGGTAGGTCCTATAATCAAGAACACACAATTTCATTGAAAGGCTTGAATGTAATCTAATTTAATTGTTACAATGGCAAGTTATAATCTTCAGAATTTTTATTCAAGAAAGAACAGAAACTTGTTAACCGAAATTATGTTTCTAAACACTTTCATACATGTCAAAATAAGTATATATTTTCATTTGAGATCAGATAATCCTATGTCACTCTGTCAAGGAATTTACACTCAATCTCAATCCAAAGTGACATATGACTGTTCCTGAGACCTCCATATATTTACAAAATAAATATATTACACATTTTCTTTACCTTGAGTTCATTCAAAATGCTCTTTGATTTCAAAATAGCCGATTCTTCCGTTGCAATACCAAAATCCCAACCACAAAATATTTTATGAGCATAAATATTTTTGATTCCTTGAGAAGTTTCAATAAAACTCTTGCGATAGGATTTTGCCATGCTGAAATTACAAACAGATATTCACTGTTATATAGTGTTTAGAACGAATATCAAGAGTTCAACTGTGTATTAAAAGGAAATATATACCTGACTGATAGACATATGAATATAAATACATAACAAAAGAGAAATGTGAAAAAATATGCCATTGGAAAACTATAATGTATCCCTGGAATAGCTTCCCAGGATTGATTGCTGTAGTGACCATAGTATAAACTTGTATTGGTGAAATAACCCTAAAATAAAAGTAAGAAAAAAAATGAACACAAAAAACTGAACAGAAAGTGTGTAACTTAAAAATAAATTCATTTTTAAATAACTGAAGAATTATTTTGAATGAAACATATTTGTTATATTTAAACTAGAAAGTGATATGAGTAATAAATGATGCAACCATAATTTGGATATTGGCACTGAACATGCAGTGCCAATTATTAATCAAGAAGCTCTTCAAAAACAAGACTTTCACCATACCAAGAACATTGTTGGATTAGCACAATGATTATTCATAAAGAACTATAAGGGAAATGCACAGGACAGAAAATAAAGAGAGGCTTAATGGGAGCTGATTAAAGGGACTAAGTTCAATATTGGCCTTCTTAAGGAAAAAGAAGATAAGACAGATTTTTTAACACTCAAGACAATAACAAAAATTGCAAGAAAATAAATGATAAAAAGAAAGAGAAAGATTGCAACGAACTACAGAAAAGGGATTGAAACAGGGTAGATTTATTAGATATGTAACTTCTGGAGAATGGGCTAGTGGACAAAGGGCTATATAAAACAAGAAAATTAGAGGGTTGTAGAGTTAGGCAAAGGTGTACAAGAAGAAAAAAATTAACTTACCTCTCCTGTAAAAATATTCCCAATTGAAAAATTTGTCTGAATGCACTGAAAGGTAGGAACGTGCTGCTCACCATAATACTCTACACAAAGAAAAATATTTGAATATTTTAATCTGGTGCAATATTAAGTAACAACTCATGTACAATGTTTTGCCCTCATTCATCATCATTTAAAGCTCATAGTGAAAAAAAACAAAACTAATGTGGATCTTGATTTTTTCCAAACCACTTTGCCCAAATCTATAGGAAAATTACAGATGAACAGTGTAAAAATAATCATCTACTGTGCATGCGCTAAAATTTTGGTTGACCCATGAAAAATTGTACATGATCTTATTTCAAAATTAAGTCTTAAAGGAACAATTTCATTCAGGGAAAAAATCTTATCTAATACATCAACAAACCAATTTTGAATTTTCGAAAAAATCAGAGTTATCAACAAAAATGAAACCGATTACATCATTATCTTAAACATCCTTCACACTATCCAACAAAAAAATGTGATCGAAAACAATGGAACCAAGTTTTTGAAATTTTGTGAATGTCCAGGGTTGTTCCCTCCAAAATTAAAATATCGTTTTCAAATTCAAAGGGCCGCGACATTAGCCAGATCAATAAGGAAATATCAATATTGGAGAGTATCTGCTGGTAGTCACTAGCGTTGTTCACAGACTGACAGACGTTTTGCTGTCAAACGATTTTTTGGTATCAATAAGGTGCCCTATTTTTTTACAATGAAAAGAAGAAAGAAGTATTTAAGAAAAAACACAACATAAATGAATGAAATATTTTATTAATTAATACATAAATACACTAACAATTGATTATTTTATTAACCCTAGAAAGACTGAGGTGAGTCCAATGGACTTGCTCCTATCTTTCTATGCTCAGAAAATTATTGGAAATTTAAATTCTGCCCCCAGTGTTCAAGTATTCCTTAAAATACCTTCTAATTGTTTCAAAATTTCTTTCAAATTTTTGTATTATTTATTCCCATATTGCCACTACCGTATTTTTATGACACAGTTGTAGTTTCTCATTTTTCTTGTTGCAGATGGAGTTTTAAATTGTTGTGTTTTTTGAATATAATTTCTGGTTATTGTAGTGATTGTCAGATGTCATCTTCTGCGTATTTCAATTGTTGCTAGAGAGAATTTTGTATTCATTTATCGCTACTCACGTACATTTGAGACGATTACACAGACCATACTTGGTTGTATCCAATGTTGCTTCAGTGCGCGATTATTATGTGGTTTTGTGCTAGTTATTTGCAGGTAGTAAATAGAGATTTTCAAAATTGAATCATGCAATTTTATACCTCTTCTTGAATCAAATCCTTTCATTTGTGTATCAATGTTTTCAGGTTGAATGATACTGAAATTCAGGCGTGCCTTGATTTATATGATGAAAATGTATCTGATGGATTATTTTCGGGAAGCGAGACCAGGAACAATTTCAACCCAGAAAATGATTATTGTGAAAATCATATTACTGTCAGAAGTAACTATAGTGGCATTGTCATTACAATATGTGCAAAACAAAGATATGTTCGGAACACTTCATGCCGAAGAGAATGTTTTCAGTGTAAAAAAGCAAACTTAATTATTGTCCAAGAATATAATAAATAGTAATAAAAGAATGCATTTTTATTGTTGTCTGTTCTAACAATCAAAAGTAAATAAAGCATTATCGTTTACCCCCTTGAGTCCGACAGACTCACCTCAGGCTCATTCGGTTGAAAAAACGCTTGGGCTTTCTCGAGTTAAACGAGTATTTTTCCAGCGAATTAATATTTTTATCAATATAGTATAATTTTCTAATAATATTTATATTTTGGAGAAAGAAATGACCATATTGAAATTTACAGTAAGTGCTGCAGCTAGGGTATCAACATACAATCTTGACTTCTCACTTGCCCAAAAATTTTAAATACTGAAGCTGAAATTACTGAAAACTGCGGAATTCCGACGATCTGGAAACACTAATCGCGTCTTTCCAAAATTCACATGACGTGTAACAGTTCGGCGCGGCTCCTTTGAATACAGAGATTAAAAACAATGGTAAACAGAGGCAATGACTAAGACACGCACTTTAGGGCGCATTTTAGTTGTTAAATACAATATTTTTCATGCAATGGGATTCAAAAAATGAAATGATTGTTTTTACTAGAATTGCAACATTTTATGCCAAGTCTCCATTAAAATTGGTAAACAATTTTGACAAAATTTTGAACAAAATTTTTACTGCTTATCCAAGGGAATTTTCGGTTTAGCTTCATTAATGAGCAGGATACCAGTTCTACGAGCATCCATTGAAATTGAAACACAAGAACAAGAAGTGTGCAGCTTGTCCCTTGTATTAATTGAGAAAGAACTCTAGGAATCCTTGGAAGAAGCAGAAGATTTCTGGCAAAGACATCACCAAGGGCTTCGAAGCTTCGAAGAGGGTACCCAGTACAGCATATAATGAGAGTGTAACTCAGCTGCAGTACATGAGCGACAGATATGCAACTTTCGATCGTGTGACATTCTGCCTTTTTTATCACAGTATTTTGACTCTCACGGGTGTTGAAATCAGCTTGTGATTGTTTGGATCATTCTTTTGATGTGTGGATTGCTGAAATGGTAGTGACGACTCAGTGGCAGTGACTACAAGCCCATTTCAAAACAACTGCACTGAAGTGGAAGGCTTTCTTGCCGCATTAATCATGAGGAATGAAATCCAAATATCAAACAAATTTTAAAATAATTATTTCATTTCACAATTATTGGATTGAATGAATTTCAATTTTACTGTCTTATCAAGATTCCTAAAGCATTTCCATATTGCCTCAAAGGAGTCCAGGAGATTTTCTTTTTAAGAAATGAAAGAAAGAAAAGAAAAACGGAAGAAGAAACAAAAGAGAGAAAGAAAGAAAAGAAGAGGAAATAAACACACAAAAGGCCAAATTGAATCTTCATGCAATGACAAATTTTGCAAAGGCCTGTTTTGTTCAAAAGAATTCAAAGAATAATTTTTCACAAGTCCACATCCTCAACCGGTACAATTTATATTCATGATTACTGTTTCAATTTCAGAATTATACACTTTTCTACAATTCATTTATAAGCATGTTAAATAAATTAAAACAAGTACTATTTTTTTTCTAATAATGTTACCTTCATCAGAGAAAATTGTGGTGTCAATCATATCTTCCAAAGATGAATTAAGCGAGCTGATATTCTGTACAGAGCTATTATTCCACAGCAAATTACAGCTGACGGTACCCAAGTGATCATACAGAATTTGAGGAATCACCAAGAAACTATGGCTAAAAAAAAGTATTGTTTCAAAATCTTAATAAATACCTTAAATATCATTCAAATAATAAATCACTATAACATGCAGAAATAATCTTATATAAAAAACAATAATTGTAGTTGATTTTGACCTCGCAGCAGATCTGATGACAAAATTTTATTGTGTCACTTTTATCTATATGCTTTAGATAGAAATCTTTATGAAACAAATAGCTGGAAGCCAATATTCAGAATGACTGAAGTTAAATAAAATACTACCAAATAAAAATGATGCAATGATTTCTGGCATATTTATTAAATATGTCATTATCATCATCAGACTAGTAAGAAATGCCTGATGTTTGTTTCTGGTTCAGGAGTAGACCTGAAAAGTGTTCCTGTGTGATCTACTTCTTTCTTGGCCTTCTATATCACTCTGCTCTAGTAGTTTGTTATTAGCACGGTATGAAACTCATGAAATTATTTTCCAACAGTGACAAAATAAACAATAAAACTTTCTCCAGTGTACAGATTTGATATAAAAAAGTACTTCTTCATGAATGAAAGTAAAATGCATTGTAGATGATAGAATAAAAGCAGTTTGAATTACAAATTTCATTATTACTTTCTCATCTGTATTATTTCCAAATAAATTACATTTACTTTCACACATAAATTAATGTTTTCATTTTTCTTTGACCAAACTCTAATATGGGTGATCTGGGCTGGTACCAGCCCTGAGGAAGACCACGACAGGATGGTCGAAATGTCGGCAACTCAGCCTTCGACGCGGCGTCACCCGGACAGCCCAGATCACCCACATGACTCTGGTCGCGGAAGCGTACGACTTCATTCAAACTCTAATATATCAATTTTTCCAGGTATTCAAGGTACTTCTCTACTATGACTTTTGCAAAAAAACCAATCAATCACATCAAACAAAATTTTCAAATTCTGAATATAATAAATTAAAATTTAGTAAAAATGCTTATAAAAAGAAACAAAATAAACTACAATCATAAATAAATAAATAAATAAATAAACATTCTTTAGCTGAAAGAGGAAGATGGCTTTGCTAACACTATCTTTTCAGAAGATTCATGAACTTATCCACACAACATAATTTATTAATTTATGTAACACGTGTTTACACATGAGAATATTAAAATAACATTAAAATTTGGTACACACAATTAAAAAACAATACTGATCCATAAAACAATATCAATTTTTACCAAGTTCTAATGTGCAAATTTATCATGAAACTAGTGGTGCTACAGATTGGCACAGACTTTCACATATTCGTTTTCTTTTTTCATTGGTTTCAGCAAGCTATTCTGACTTGCCACATAATCTTGCCAACTACCAGTGTACATCCTTTTTTTTTCTTAATTTTTTCAGCCTTCTCATAGTAGAATGGAAAAATGAAAAAAAAAAGTACAATTGAGTAGACACTAATATCGCAAATAACTATTATTGACCAACATTCAAAATCCTCATCCTAATATAAATTTGAGAGGCTAAGATAAGCAGCATGTTAATTTATATTATATAAAGAAAGTATTAACTTAACCTTATCACATATTATTTCTTGAACAGCAACAGTAATGTGGTAAGCCTTTATATTTAATTTGACTTGCAAACAAATAAATAAAAACAATAATCCACTAACAATGTGTTTTGAGCTTTGTTAAATCTCTTATAGAGCTTTTACTGTCATAAAAAATACATACTTATTTTACCCTGTAAACATCAACTTAGTTCTTGGACTTACCTAATAAAAAATACTATGCAATTCATTATGAAAAGTGAACGAAAAAATCTGAAGAATGTAGCCACACCACTTCCGTAGTGGCCTTCTATTACTTTGATACTACTGTACCACAATTCACAGCTATATATCATGTCTTTTATTAAATCATTAAACTGCAACAAAGCATTACAAAACATAATGAAAAATACACTTATTTCAGAAAGATTGTAAATGATATTATATTCTACAACTTACCTTAGTAATTGACATACTGAACTGATATCTCAATCGTTTGAAGACACCTAAAGGGGAGCCTCCTTGTTTTTTATTAACTCTATTAATAAGTTTTCTTCGAATAGTTCGTTTCAAAGTAAGCGACTCTGGCATTTCTCTTAAAGTGTCTCTAGGAAAAGCAGGAGAAAAGAGTAATGCATGTTAGATGCAATTCAGTCATTGAACATTATTTTTATTTTGTTTTCAAATCCTTAAAACAGTCTGATGTGGTTTGGTGCCAAACATTGAAACTTAATAATCGACATAATGCTGGGTGTTTGGCAAAATGCCTTTTGGTTATTGTTACTGTTTCATGACTTTTGACAATAGCAATCACTTAATTGTACTTTTGGAGTTATTATAGTAGATTTTATTTTGCCTTCTGACAACTTTTTTTCCATTTTGCCTTCTTCATCATTATTTTGCTTTTTTTCCTGCTACCTCCATATCAGAATCAAGCGAGATATATCCCCGAGCCTTGACAACATGTTTGTCTTTCTGTGGATGCAGAGACTGAGTTAAAAAATTAAATGAAAAAGAAAGATGATAACAGTCAAGATTTTTTGATTTTTTCATTAATGCTGAGAGGCTTTGTTTGGCCCTGAGCAATCTCATACTACTTCTAAGTATGGCCTCTGATTCCTTTCGAGGACAGCTCACATTGTAAGGTATACTCAGTGCTGGTGATTGCACAAGTGCAGAGAACAAAAAATTTAATTCCATTTTCACTTAAACTGATCTAAGATTCAAAAGGGAGTCCACAATATCATTTCAAAGACACAGCATCAGGAATGCAAAAAAATTCATAGCCATCATAAGGACGGTCATGTAGAATCATGATTACAAAGAAAATTTTGTTTCCTTAATCATTAAGTGCTAATGCAAATTTTAAAATTACAAAAAATGTGAATGATTTTAAATATTAACTTTTTACAATAATTCCTTTTAAATGTTATTTTTCATTGTTTTGTCACCCCTACTTTAAACAGAATAAATGCCTTTTTCATACCTATGTTACTAAAAATAAATGCCTTTTGACCTGCCTATTTTAGGTAAATATATTTGGGTTATTATTATTAAACTTATTCTATGTGGCACACCAGTCTATTTATCAGTAATAAGTACTTATCATACAGAGACAGTCTTAATAACAATAAACATGTTAACATGTAAATTAACACTGTTTAAATGCACTCAGAACAGGTAATACATCGAAATGTCAAGTTTTTTGTGTTTGTGAACTAAATTTCTGCATAGTTTCCTCCTTATGATGAGTTTTATCTTACTCTAAAAATTCTTTTTTAAAACTCCAAATGTATACAATGATGCATAATGGTCATGAAGTTTATTTTTATTTTTTATTTAGTTGCTGCAATACAATGTTGGTGTAATTTTGGGTGATGCAGATGCTTGAAAGTTAGCAACAGTTAAGTCAACAATTTCATTGCATCAAGGAATATCATCATTTTGAGATTTTGTTCTCTATTTTCAATAGTTTTTGAACTCAGAGAATGTGAATTAATGTTAAATACTGTAATTTGGGCTTCAATACCAAACAGGATTTCTGTAAGGAAAAAAACATTCAACTTGGTATTTATCACACTGTGGCTACATTTACTGAAGGTAATATGACAAAATGCATATATTGCATTTCAAAGCTGTCATGCACATAGAACTCCCAAGCAAAGCAATGAAAAAAATTGTCAAAGAGAGATGCAGAAAGGTAAAACTTGCAAACATGAGCAAGATATGAGAAAAGTAATAGTAGAAAATTACCAGTTGAAATGGGGGAAGCAATGTGTTAAAAATGTTAGTACTTCATTTTCCGTAATTGAAACTCATTTAGTGTAAAAGAAACATTTTCTCAATTTCTATTAATCCTGTATTTACACATATAATACAAGTTTTGCGAAATCTCTTGTTAAAGTGAGTAATAAGAGCTGGAAAATTTGGGAGACAAAATTGAAGGGGTCATCCTAAATAATTTCTGAGAAAATGTTCTTTAAAGTAGCCTCAGTTTAACTTAGCAGAGATATATTTCTTCCAAGTGCTTTTAAATAGTGTTGTATAAAAAGCTTAATAAACAATGTAAGACATTCACCCGAAAGTCTTACACAACTTACAATCTGCGTTGTTCAGACAGTGGATTATCACGCATCAGACTATTATCTTTCTCCATTGCATTCACTATTTTCACAGCTGCTTGTTCCAAAGGATATTCGCAAGAAGCATCTTGGATGTAAGATGTAATAGAATCATGCTCATGATTACCTACAAGAATGATGACAAAGAATAACAGTAAATATAGAATTAGAAAATGTTTTATTTTTTATCTGAGCAACTCTAACATGCTTTACTACCAGCATGAGCCGACATAGGAGAGGAGAAATCTTCAGTATCCTCAAATGCAACTCTCCTAGCTTGTCTAACTCGAACTTCATTAAGATCTTGCAAAGGAAGGTACTCTGCTTCATCTTCCTCTCCAAGTTCACGTGCGAGTGCATGTCGTAAAGTATTAATTCTTTCTACAAGAACGCAGAAATTAACGAAAAATCCGTATTCGTATTTTATGAGGTGCACGATAAAGTTATCGTACTTACGTATTGTAGGAATGGATCCCCTATGATATAAGTGACGCATATTATAGAATATTACGAACAAGATAATGTGCCTTTTGCTTCCGAGTCACAATGCCATCTCTTGTAACAGACGCTCTCTTAAAAATTGGAATTGAAGCTCCTGTACCCTAATTACCCTCTTCTGATTAATTATAATTTAAAGCACAATATATACATTACAGTAAACGAGTAGTCTCCTTCGATCCCCGGCATTCGTTCGTGGGACACAAATCACTATCAGTCACATACACCGTATACCATTTGTCAAACATGCAATTTTTATTCGCTTAATCCTCCAGCATCCTTGCAAGGACTCGCCCACTTGAAATTCCCGGAAGTGAAACTAGACATGGCGCTTTGACAATCAGCTGTTTTAGTGGCAGTTTAAATCGTGTTTGATATAATGGATAATGTAGTGTTCTTTGTTCCACAACTAGATTGCCAATATGATTCTTGAACTTTCTAATCTACATACTAAACACAAATTAAAAACTATGAAAGGAGTTTGGTATTTGGAACAGCAAAGCCATTTCAAATATTATTTGGGATGGCAGCCATTTTTGTCGAGTAGCTCACCTACCGCTTGTAGTAGCAAATTGTAGAACTATGACTTTCCTTAGGCAGTGTGATTTTACGATACTACCGCACTCTGCAAGTGAGGTTAGAAGGCATACTCGTTATATACATTCAATGTTTGTAAAGGAATAGAGGAACAGTTTGAAGCCTTGTTGCTAAGTTATTGGGCTTGTTGGTGTTTCCTGATGTAATAATTTAACTCACTTGAGGAGTTGCGCTGTATACAGCACATTAAAATACTGTATTGACTGCATTTCAATGAAGGCGTGAATTGAGTGTCGTGTCACATATTTGAAGTTTGCATGGCTGCAAGATTACCTGAAATCACAACTTTTACGGGACATCCAATGTTGGGAGTAACATTACCACCTCCTCCTCCCCCACCTCTTCCTCCACCTCCTCCTCCCCCTCCCCCTCCTCCTCCACCGTCTTCAATGACTCATGACAGAAGTACTCAACCAGAATACAATGTATACAGACCGCATTTCCCTTCTGTTATACAAAGAGAGCCCTATGTGATTCCACATAACAAACCCCCACAATTGCCCACTAAGGAGGCTTGTGGTACTCAAGGATTACCTCCTCCAGCAGCTTTTAAACGACCAACAGTAAATGACAGTTTAGCATCAACCAAAAAGATGAAAATTGAAGGACAAGATGATGAAACTGAAGCAAATGTTTCTGTTTGTACCACTGAAGATAGTGTTGTGCCTAATACTTCTGACGTAGTGTCAAAAGGCAAACCTGTACCTGGTGATACTTTACAACAAATTAAAGATCCATCTCTTCCAAAAGAACTCACAAAATTATTTGGGGCATTAAAGTGTGATTTGTGTAGTGTTACTGTGAATTCTACAATTCAGGCAAGGATGCATTATATCGGAAAACAACATGAAAAGAAAGTCAATGCATATTTGATCAAATGGTGTAAAGAAACAGGGCAACCTATGCCAAATGTCAATTTTGGCCCCACAAAGAATAAAAAACCATCAAATCCTGATGATCTGTTTTGTAAAGTTTGCAATATTGCTTTGACATCTATCCAACATGCTCAACAGCATTATATGGGTCGCAATCACTTACGAGTCCTAAATGGTCATACACCTCTTAAACCTGGTTACTTCAATAAAGATACTGGCAAATGGCAGAGGTTACCACAATTTGAAAAAAGTGACCCTACTGGCAGATTTGGAATAGGAGTTGCCTTTATACCAGAGACTGCCAGAATTATTAATGATTCAGAGCCATCAACATCAACAAACATCACAGACACAAAACTTCATCCAAAGAACCGAAGATTCTTTTGTGAATTGTGTCAAGTAGCTACCACTTCCCAGGATCAGTTGGATATGCATTTGAAAGGTGCTAAGCACAGGAAATCTGAAAGACTTGCTGCCTCCAGTGGGAACACAATGCAGAACAATCAACCAAGTATACCTCTTCCCAGTACCCCATCAGACTCTATTTTGGCCAGTGTAATGAGAACAAATAAAATTGATAAAAACAAATCTGGGATCAAGGATTATTCCATCTACAGAACACCATCTGGACAATTCTATTGCCAGCCTTGTAATTTGACGTTAAATTCAGAATCTCAATTTTCCCAACATTGTGAAAGTCGAAAACACAAATTGGCAATGTTAAAAAAGCCTATGAATAAGGGCTTAGGGAGAGGCAGTATGAATTTAAAATGAAATTTGTGGTGTTAAATTAATTGTGTAAATACAGTAAAAATGGAATCAAATTATTGATTGATCAGTGAGGTTTTGATTGCCTTAACACACAAATTGAGTAGAGCAATATGCTTTTATTGAAAATTCAAACAAACTTTAATATCCTTTTATAATTGTTCATCATTTTTAACTACAGTATCATTTAAAGATTGAGGTCCAACGTGCTCTACAAGTTGACTGTGCTGATTTTTAAATTCTGCATATTCATTATTATTTGTTCGTGTTTATTCTGTATTGACCTTTAAATATCTGATTTTAATGAATCTGTGATTCCTTTTTGATATATAATGTTAGATAATGTCAAACAAATTATTAAATAATTATTATTTAATTTTTGAAACAAGGTATGTAATTTACATACTAACAGTCTGTTTCAGAAATAATAAAGATATTTATTTATATGTATATATGAAATGAAGGGATAAAGAATAGTTTGTGCAGTGACATAAAAAATTGTGAAACACTGTTGTTGATGTCATTGTGTAGGCTGTGTAGATAGAGGAAATAAATCTCGTACCAATGATTTAGTTATGTAAACTATAGGTTTTTTGCGATTGTAATTTATAGTTTCAAATTTAAAGTAAATTTAGAAAAGAAACTTAAAATTTTTCTTCAGTGTATTAAAATTATTAATTTTCATACAAATATTAAATTTGAAGTTTACTTTCATCCAATTACAGTACAATAGCAAACATATTATACTCACATAAATAAAAATTAAATATACAATGTAAATTTAACTTCTTTTGCAAATTTTTCAATAAACATGTCCCAATGTGATTATGTCCTATGATGTGTTTATGAGTGGATGTGGAAGAACATAATTCATAGATTAACTGTTCTTGAAATTAAAATGCTGTAAGCTTTATTGGAGTTTTAGTGTGTGATGTCTAGTTTTCAAGTAATCATTGATTTTTTTGTTTGTAGCCTGAAAATTGAGTACAATGTTTTAATTACAATCAGTAATTATAGATTTATTGCATTGTGGTACATTCACTTCAGCTATATATGCACATTACATTTGAGATATTTTGCAAAGAGATTGTATTGATTGTTCACATCATCTACCAGTATTCAGCAAACAGGTTGCTGCCATTTAAGAATTCAACTTTTAATATTATTCACTATTTTGTTGTTTTTTGTGTCCTGTTTGCTTAAATGCAGAACAATGAGTATTATACTGATGTATGAATGGTTAAAACTAGTCATTTGTATTGTTCATTCTTGAACATTTATGATAGTTTTTTATTTCTGTTATTTGTATTTGATAGTAATAATCTCAACTGTTATATTATTGTTTGGTTTAACTGCCCACTGGCAGAAACTAAAAATGAATATGTGTTATATGTATTGATTTGTTGAAATTATGTATGTTCAATTAAAGTAATGATATATAAGTGATCTGTCTTAATTTTTTCTATCTTATAAATTTAGTTCAAACGGAAGTATCATAGTTTTGTGAAATGCATTGTGATTTTGATAGAATACACTTTTCGTATATCCTAATGGTACCATTCAAAAATTTCTCATGTGGAAAAACTCTGTGTGTCTGCCTGTTTTCATGTCCTTTAGTGAATTTCTTGATTTTACGTATATTCACAATGGTAGTGAAATATGGTGGTGATTCTCCTTTGGCAAGTTGCAGTGGAATTTTTTTCTCTCAAGGTCATCATTGTCTGAAAGTGACACTACATTTCTAAAAGTTTCTCAAAAACAATTTTGAACATTCGTTTTAAACTGCGTTTCATCAGAGCAAAATGTTCTTAATAATCTAAAAGTTGGTAAAACTTTTTAACATTCATCACCACAAATGTAGATTTTTATCTTCACTCTGAAATAAATTAAGAAACACTTTCTGATTCTACAAATTTAACATATGTTGACATTGTAAAATTGTTGTTTTTTTTACCAACATTTATTTTAATTACTGTTATGTGTTTTCGACCCAAAACAGCCAAAAATGGCATGTGGTTTTCAATTAATCTAAATATTATGATAATAGTATTGCAAGAAAAATATAGTGGTTTCTTATTGAGAAAAAAGTAGATCTTCATTAAATAATGTCAGATATTGCTACAATAAAAACAGATCATGAAATACATTCTAGCTAAAAATTGCTGAAAACATGTAGAGTTTTGGGTGTTAATTTAACCGTGCAAAAAATCAAGTTTTGTTGGAGAAAATTCATAAATTTTGAATATTCTTTGATGAGAACATATAGATCAGATAAAAATATACAATTGACAAACTTGTATTGTGTGCTCAATTTACAGAAAAGTATGGTTAATAATTATAAAGTTCAATGTAATGAGTTGAATGTACAAGTTAGAAAAGTATCTAACAGAAAATGAAATTTTTATAACAAATTATTTTAACGTTCTTTAGTGATGAATTTTATTTAGGATTTTTTTTATTTTTATTTTGGGTGAATTGGAATTATTATTTAATAGTATGATGGAATAATTACTTAATCTAAAATGGAATAAAAATATTTGGAGTTAAAAATTACATTGATGAACATTAAATGAAAATACAGTTCTTTTTTTGTAATTCTGGAATCTTCAGAATTATTGAAATATAATCCAGTAACACTTTGTGATATGTGACAAAATCTGTCTGGTTTGGAAAGGCTATTGTACCATCTGGTATCACTCCATACTTTTGGATAACTTTAGGACACTCGTATGTTTATTTAATTGAGTGATATATTGACACATGGATTTAATTTAGTAATTTGGAAAGCTGAGGAAGTTATGTAAAAGAAACAAACATTCTAGATTAAATAATGAATTTATAAATTAAAATGTTTATTTTTAATAACTGGTTGTAGAATTTGTTTCATCAATTCTTAACCATCTTGTGAGGAACTTGAGCCAGATTAGCTCAAGATGGTTAAAATAATTTGCATGATGTCCTTTGATACCGAACCCCAAATTTAAATGTTTTCACTTTGACACACCATCCATGAATGGATCCACGCATGTCTTCAGAATTGATGAAGCCAATTTTGCACCTGGTTTACTATTTTTCAAGCTCTTTTTCTTTCTACTCCGACTATGAAGGAAACCTCTAATTAAAGATATCTGATATCTACAGAAGTACGATACTACCAATACTATCTCTCAAAATTCCATGAATTAGATTTTGTTCTTCTCTATTTAATGATGGTTGCTCTCTCTCTCTCTCTCTCTCTCTCTCTCTCTCTCTCTCGCTCTCTCTCTCTCGCTCTCTCTCTCTCGTTCTCTCTCTCTCTCCTCTCTCTCTCTCTCCCTCCCTCCCTCTCTCTCTCCCTCTCTCTCTCTCCCTCCCTCTCTCTCTCTCTCCCTCTCTCTCTCTCTCGTAGTATAGGAAAAGTTACATAATGCTGCGAAAAACATCCGATTTTCGACAGAAAATTATTATTGCCGGGCCCTGATAACGAAAAATTGAATATCCAGTTGCTAAATTAAGAAAAAAATCCTCTAACACGTGTTTTCAGCAGAATCCCTGTTTTGTGTGTCCTTTATACCGAAATCCAATTGACGGCAAAATGTCCGTCCGTCTGTCAGACTGAACACCACTAGCCCCTAAACCATACGTACGATTTTTTTCTAAAATGGATATTCCCTTGTCGATCTGGCTCCACTGAAGGCGCTTCATATGTTTTGAAGCGAGGTCATATTTTCACGGTTAACTTTGAATTTACGGAAATTGCAGAAATTTGAATTTTTTCGGCGTCTTCCTACAACTACAAAATTGAAGATAGAGGCTTTTCTTTCAAATTAAATTTGTTGTCTATAATTAGCTCTTTCATTCAGGTCAGATTCATTTTTTGAAACGTTTCGTAGTTTTCGCGCGATATTGCTTACAATATGTGCAATTTTAAAAAATAACAAAAATAAGATTTTCAAAAACGGCTCCAATTTTTTTTTCTTTTTTGGTACAGGTAGTACCAAAATGTACTCTATGAGATCACATAAACGCCATATTGGTCTATTTTTTGTGTTTTTCAAAAATTACAAAAATGTAATTTTTTTCAAGATCTCTCACGCCATTAGAATGTACGCCGTTAATATATACATTAGCAGCGATTTGTTCACATCATATTTATGAGTATGTGCTTTAAATAATGTCATATAAAGTTTGTTGAACACTCAACAGGTTTCTGTGAAAACTAGGTAAAAATTTCAATTGCCATTTAGAACGAGTTTTGCACTGTTCTTTAAGATCCTTAAAATATTTCTGTTCTACTATCAGGAAAACGAAAAATTAAGATAATTTTAAAAAATATATACCTTCGATAGATGGCTGATGGCAAGAGTATGTGGCAAGTCCAAATAGCTAACTGAGACCAAAGGAAATGAAAAACTAATACAGGAAAGTCTGTGCCATTCTGTAGAATCACTAGTTTCCCTTTCTTTTTTTTCCATTTTTCTTCACTATGTCTTTGATAGTTGATTTTGGGATCCCAAATCTATTGGGAGTGATCTTAAGTAGCAACCTTAACTTCTTTCACTGTCACTCATATGTTACCAGGATTAAAATTGCACTTAACAGCCTGTCAGACATTTCCATGTACCTTCATCCCATTGTCTGAAATCTACAATCATTTAATTCCTCATCCCTCTCTTTTACTATACTTGTTGCATTTTATATAAAGGAGGAAATAAGCATTTATGGTACAACCCATTAATTGATATAATTAATATTATCACATTGTCTTAAGTATTGAGATAAAGAGAATTTGTGGGATTAAACTTGCAAGAAATTCATGCATATTATTTATCACTGTGTCCAAGAAAATAAGTTCTAAGATTCCAGGAAATACAGAACATTGTCTCTAGAATAGGCCTAAGCTTGTAGAACCTAGAGATAACAATTTCTAACAAAGCTACTATTTAATAGTGTCAGTTAATTATTATGTTTGAAAGCACCATCTGTGTCTGAAAACTGTGGTTTCTTCTCTTTGGAAATATTTCTGAATCAGGGTTATGAAAGAAGGTGCAATATAATTTTGCATTTGAATGGCAAATTTAATATGGGTTTTACCATATGTAGATAGTATATTGCAAAAATAATTTGATTGGTAAATGTTAATAGTTTGTTAATAATCAGTTATCAATTTGCATAAAAATTGGCGGAATTGTAAATAAAAGAAATTTCAAGAAAAAGTTTAACATTTCTCTGCTTCTGTTTGTTCCATGCTTTTGTAGAACAAACAAGAAAGATGGTCTCCTTGCATCTATACCTCTCCCTATTTTGTATGAAAATGTAATGAGAAAAGACATGAATAAAAAATATTGTTTCACAGTTGTTTCATATTTTATTTGCTTTTCAGTAAGGAACACTCATTGATATAGTGTATTAAGGTACATTTCAGTTTTTGCATTTCTGAATGCACCATGACAGTTTGAAGCAAGTATTATAATTATATTACATAATTGATTTATACAAAGTAATTTCTATATTGCAAAATATTTTGTTTGATAAAAAGGCTTTTTCTTATAGTTTAGTTCAAACTAATCTTCCCTCATTTGCAAGTAGATATATCTATGTACACATTCATAAACATGAATATACAATTCAGTCAGGCTCATTTCATTAGGTATTAATGTTTAGTTTAAGATCACCAACAGCTACAAAATAGCTCAATCTAATACATTCCTTTTTACATACATGGCATCATGTTTGAAAGTAACAAACATTTTAAAATAATTCTTATAATACACTCATGCTCATAACATATACATACAAATATATATATGTAATCATTTACTATGGCCATGAATATTAGTTATATAATATTTATATATAGACAAGAATAAAAAAATGTTTTGTTGACTTATTGATGTAGAGAACTGGTGTGTTATTTTCTAGTACTGGTAATGGCACTAGATTATTGATACACTAGCTCATTTTCTTCTGTTGAGGAAGGGGTAACATTGGTTTTTCTTTACCACCTGCAGGATAGAACTTAAAGAATTGTTTTATACAAATATGCTCTGCAAGATTAAATGTTTCATATAATAAATATTACATTAAAAACAGCAGCAATTTACAGATGCTTTACAGAATTTTGAAAACATTTCGGTGAGACGCATATCATTTAAATGGTGTAATATTTTTTAGAAAACATTCGACTTAAATCTCAAAATAATTTAACATGACATACTTTATTTTCAAATACGTGACTAGTGTTAAGGGAATCCAAAACAAATGTGCAAACAATATTCATGAGGTAAGCAGATATCACGAAGTAAACATACTTTTGTCACATTGTTTCATTCAACTCACAAATGTTAGACCAGAGTAAAGAGGTCTACAGTAGGTGAAACGGATTATTTTGAATTTAGGATTCTTTAAAAAAAATCTTAACACCAGATTTTTGCCAGAATTATCTGCACACATAGAAATAAAAAAGGAAGACATATATAATTCAATTTATTGAATTAAAAAAAAATGCAAAATCTTATTATGTTGTCTTGAAGTACACAATTTTGCAGCATCTTGACCTGAAGACATAAATCAAATTCAACCCAATTAAATATTAGACTTGTCTAAAGATGCATGCAGAACAACATTTCACAATTTACTCATTTTAAAACCAGCACATGTAGGAGTAGCCATTAACACAGATATGAGTGATTTGAACATATATTTAAATTTTTGTTTGAGTCACTGGAATGTAAAAAAAAAAAAAACAACAACAACAAAACATGACTGAATATTGTGAATCAAATAATTAAATGCTCCCTTTATGAACAGTTTTCATAAATGAGCCAGAATTTCCATTTCGGTGTCAACACCACTTGCACTTGTACTACTTCCAGTGGTAGTTGCCATTGTTGATCCAGACACAGTCACAATAACAGGACTGGTATCATTTCCAGTCTGAACAATAGTCACAAGGTTTGCATCCTTTGCTTCATCCACTGAACTTCTGACATTCATATGACTACTATGACAGCCTTTGTTCAACATCATACGCAATGGAACTTCTTGATCTGGCAACATTTTTATATTGTCAAGGTTTTCAGCTTCACTCCCTCCGTTGCCCATCACACTTATAACATTCACTACAGCACTTCCTCCTCCTGATTCACTGAGGCTCAGAGATGGGTCTCTGCTATGTTCAGCGGTAGAGCAGCCCATGTTTCCATTTGGATCTAATGTTGGTCTTGTTGAACTTGTACGAGACCTATAACTTGGTGGACGACTGTAGTCTGACTGCATCTGATCTCTTCTTAACCCAAGTGGCGCCCTACTGCAAGAAGAAGAGAAACACTTATTTTATATAAGAGTAAGAAAACAACAAAACTTTACAAGAAAAGGTGTTCACTTTTTTTAAAGATAAGTAATAACAAAAAATATTAAAAGTAAAACAGAAAAAAAGAGGAAACATTAGTTAATGTAATATTTGGTAGGGTGATATTTCTTTGATAAAGAGTGGCTATTTCATGTTATTTGAATTTCTCAAGCCAACATTTTTTGGCATCGTTTCTCTCAATATATCTAAATGATTACATTGGATAAATGGAACATAATGATTACATAACATCTGAATGAATATTCTCAATATGAATATTTCATTTACTTCAATCTAACATAAAAATATTATTTCAAAAATATTGAAATTGCCACCCTACCCCTGAAAAAAAACAATCAAACAAAAAACAACAACAACAACAACCTAGAACCACCCATGTTGGTAAACTAGTGATGCCAAAACGTATATACTGGACGCCAACACACTTGTGGGCTCCTCTGAGCTGGGGTAAGCTGAACACGATTAAATTACTTGTATTGAAGCATAGAAGCAATTCCTATTCTTTGATGATACATATTTAATAGGATACATTGCATTTTCTATATTACATATTTAAACTTTCTTTTATGGATAACATAAATTAATAGACATATTTAATTTCAAAATATGAGTTTAGGATATATCCTTTTCAGAGGGTTGACCGATAACGAAATTAGTAACTTTAATTCCAGAGGAAACGACTTTTCATCTTTTATTCTATTTCCAGTTATTTTTACATCGTGGTAAACATTTGTTATAATTCATTTAATTTTGCTCTTTTTCGTCATAAGCGTCCTTGTAAACAGCATTTTTACTTTCCCGTATACGTACGTATATACGCTGTATAGAGAAAGTTATGTAATGCTTCGGATAATTAGTTTCGTGATTTCGACGGAAACACACGTTTTAGAATCCCCTGATACCGAAAATGTGTTGTTTTTTTCAAAACGTCTGTCTGTCCGTCCGTTCGTCTGATGTCTGTGAACACTACTAGCGCCTAATCCATGCGCAGGATTTTTTTCCAAATTGAAGAACCCCTGTCCATCTGGCTCGAGTCAAAGCTTTGAGGTTTAGAAAACATTCTTCAAAATTTGGGGGTATTTTACATGAAGACCCCCAGACATTTTCAAAATTTTCTCAAAAGCGGCTTCAATTTTTTTCTTTAAATTTCTTGTAAGAATGGAGTCACATACTTATAAACGCATAGGTCCAATTTTTCTTTTTGCGAAGCAAGTCCAATTGTCAGTTAGTAATTTGAGCTAGAAAGACCCAAACAGTGTCAATTTTGTCGACATCACCAAAAAGATAATCTGATATATCTCCATTTAAAATTTCGTATAACATATGAACGTCAATCTAGGTTTTCGAATGTACTTGCAAAACGCTGACGTGTAGTTCTAGGCCCCGTGTTAACGCTGTACAACAAGTTTCACTTGAGTCCGAAAGATCACCAATGAGTTCATTAATAATAATAATTTTCTGACAGGCATAGCTTTGTTTTCGCCCAGACTGCAAGATAGCACTAATGATGATAACTATCGAAAAGATCTTAAGTTAAAATATAATTTGGACAACACCTTTTATTTACTTTATTATTAGAAGGTATCTATCTCACCAGCGATCTTATTAATATTAAATCGTTCATTAATATTTCGCTTCATAAAATCAGATATTCATGGTGACAATACCCATCATTTCTTGTATCATCGAGCACCTGTTATCCTTTGGTTTTGCAAGAAAAAACAGTTATTTCACATACCTTTTAGAAAGTGTACTACAAATGTCATTCATGATCCGCTGCTTGCTTCCGTTTTTGGACCATGTTCTGTCATCTCTTCTTCTGTCATGTCATGTCATATCCTGTTCTTGGCTTGATAGCCCCGGCCTTGGTTGACCACGGGTGACCCAGACTCTCGGCCATGGGATAAGGGGTTCGTGTGATTATCAAGAAGACATCCCTTCACCGTATACGATTCTGGTCTTCTTAACTTTAGGGCGGGCTTTCTCATCGTCACTCAACAATATATTCTGGGGCATTCGTAAGGAAAGTGCTCAGTTATAATTTGCCTCGGCCGGAAATCGAACCCGTGGTTGCGCAGTGGAAATCGAGCACGCTAACCAACGGGACACTCGAGAGAGTCGTTTTTGGACCCCACTTTTTTGAGTTCGTGTGGCTGCATGACTAGCTTTGGGCCTGCCATGACGACATATGTATAATTTTAACGACATGTATGCATATTTATAAAGTTTAAATCAGACTTCGCGTTGGGTCGTACACCCAAAATATGCGAGTGGGCTTGTGCAGATGGGTTCAGCGAAGAATGACCCACAGTATAAAGAGATCCGATTGTCGATATCAGAGAAGACAGACCGAATGATAGCGTACATACGATGGGAAGTTATCCTTAATATGATTGCTTGCAGCAAGGGTTACTGGCTACGGGAATATCTAGTCTCCTCTTTCTCGAGGGCGTTCAAGACGCATTAATAAAGCCATTAATAAAGACATTATTATTATTATTATTATTATTATTATTATTATTATTATTATTAATGTCTCACTCAATCATTAAATAAGAACTGGATTACTTCACCAATTCTCATAACTAAAGGTAAAAAATGTTTGAAAACCGATGTGCAATATCCTTGAAGAAAGAAATAAAAAAATGGACGCATGGGAACCGACCTAGGTGGTTCAGGGCATCAATTGATGTCACTGCAGTGCCTCTGATCAGGAGGTCCTAGGGTTCGAGTTCCGACGATGGCAGGATTTTCTTAACACTAGCTAGTTAGCTAGGTCGAATTCAGCCGCTGTTTCGAGGAAACTTCTGTCAGCCGACTCCTCTGTAGTTTTCCGCGATTTCTCCGATGAACACCAGGCGAATGCCGGAGCAGTGTCCTACCAAACGGGTCACGGACCGCGCGCCATCTTTCCTTCCCTTTCCTTGCTCTAAACGTATCCCTTGCTTACTCACACTTACAATTACTACACTATCGGAAGATCAGTCGGGGATTTAGGGCTTGTCCCGGTCGGGGCGGTGCAGATGCCCCGCTGGCGGGGCGGTGTCCTGCTGGTGGGAAATACCTTGTTGAAAAAAAAAAACAAAAAAAACAGCCAGTTGGCGGATAGGTCGGCGTCGGGTCTCGCCATCCAACGGGGGAAGATCATCTCAACTCTCGCGATAAAATATGCTCTATACTTACGGGACCTTGGCAGATGACGTGTCCAGGATTACTAATCAATTAGTCGATGCATAGTATTTTCACCGGCAGCAGTCTAGTGTAGCCTTTTCCGTTTACAAGAACCAGAGATAATATGTGACAATTCACCGCGTTTTTCACTATTTTCTCTTTCTTTCTTCCTTTTTGTGTTTCTGACTCCCTGACTCCGTAACCCTTTTGGTTCATATGGAATCTCCTCGCTTTCACTGATGGGCATCGGAACGGCTGTTTGTCCCATGCTTGATCCAGGTCAGCCCACACCTCTCCTCCATCTGTCCCAACAAAACTCGTGTGACTCGAAAACGATGTTTCAAGAGCCTAGGATGTATCGTTTCCGACTTGTGCGCGATTACGAGTACTATGTGTATCGCAGTAAACCGTTTTGTATTCGTAATCAGCAAACATCTAGTTTTTCGGCTTAATTAATTATGTTAGATGTAGGACTGGGGAGTAATTCTCTCTCCAATGGATCATACTTGCACAGTTTTGCGTGGTTTCTTATAAATTGTCAAGTTGTCATCTATCCATAGTGTATCAAACACTACGGATTACACACGAGGTTATATGATGTAATATTTTAATAAGAAATGTTTTCTGATTTAAAATCAGCATAGTTAAAAAGTACATACGTTTGTTCGTGGATCACTGTATAATAATGATTATAGAAAATGAAAGAAGTTTTACCTCAATGTACTGCCTGCATGAGATCGATATGTAGGAGGTGGAGACACCATATGTCCACCAGTTGTTTGACCAGGACCAGGAACAGACCCACCAGGATGTCTGTCAAGTAATAGAAGTCTCAATCGATATTCTTGCATGGATGCTTGGTATGAAGGTGGAGGTGGCCTGTATTGAAATTCTGGATACATCATAGCTATAACAATAAGAAAGTAAGTGAGTTTCGTAAATTCAGTGACACAAGGTATAAAAAGTAATGTAAGGAAACTACACTGATTACACAATAATGGGTATGCAGAAGTATGCAAAAAATTAATGAAAACTGCAATTTCATTACAAACTTAAGTGAAGTATGTAGAGAAATAGTATTTTCAATTTTTTTTCAAAAATTTAATAATGAAATTTTCCAAATGAAGTAGTTCACCGTGATGAACTATTTCTCAGAGTTGAAGTTTTTGTAATATTTGTATATTTATTAAATAAACGTGTGTTACTAAAAGGTGAATACAGAAAGTTTCCCTAGGCCTTCAACAGAGAGAAAACTACTTCATAAAAAAGAACTTTAGTGCAGCATGCACTCGTACGGAACTTTGCACTATTTTTTCCACATAATCCCCACCAGAAGTGGAACATCTGTCATACTGGGTTTTGTATCCCTGTGCTACAGAAGCCTATAGCCCTGGGACTACATGGTGGGACATCCGGACTACATGGTGGGTTGTCATATGGTCGGCCTCTCAAGGTTCGGCTCGCAATTGTTTCTGCAGCAGTTCTGCTGGGAGGTGTTTTACCATCTACCTTTCAGTCCAGATCTCGCTCCTAAATACTTCCATCTTTTTCTTACATCTCAAGAAATTTCTGTTCGATCAGCATTACGCATATCATAGTGTCGCAGAGTTACGGGTGTCTGACAAACACTGGTACCTATCCAAGGTGGCAGACTTCTACGACACAGGGATACAAATATTGATCCAGTGGTGTGACACATGTCTCAATTCCAGGTATTATTATGTGGAAAAATGGTGCCTCTAGTGCTGTGTCTGGCATTTTGACATTTTTACGTTTTAGCTTTATTTGAAACTTCTTAGTTTTCAGATTTCAATGATACATTACACAAACCAACTTGCATCGTAAATGTTTTTGTGCCATTATTATGTCTGCAACAGTAAAATGAGAAAGGCTCAGCAAGCACTTGTTCATTTACTGTTTATATATGAATAAACTTAAAACTAATAATTTTACGTTTCCATTAAAAACGCTGTGGAATGCAAAAAATAGTGAAATTTGAATATAGTTCGAAGAAAATATTATTATGCCCTTAGCAATGCTACTAAGATCCTGCTTTGTAATAAAATTAAATGTACGAAACATTCGGATCCACGATCCCCTATCCGGATGTAAGTTCCAACGAATTTCGGGACCCTGTTCTATTCGAGTAGAAGTGACACATTCTGTATATTTTTATAAACTGTCGCTTTTAAAATATGATTTTCCAATACTCGTTTATAACATTGCGTTCTTGAAAGAAATGTACTGGAAAATATATATTGGTGAACTTCCCGGTTCTTGAGTAGCCTGCATTATCGAAAGGAACTAGGCGAATAGTACGCTGGTCTATGGTCAAGACCACCTAAAATTCTCACTACACACCGAAAATACAGTTTTATTACTTCTTTACATTTAACTCATTAAAACTTACTTTTGTTAAGAAATTATAATTATTTTTTGAAGACAAGCGAATAAAAATGTACTTTACATACGTTCTTTACAATATACGAGCGTAGTAAAATAGTAGACGAGTTATTAAAACAATAGTAATGAAGATAAAGATATGAGTGTTGAAATTGTCTGCATGTAGGATATAATCGTTGAGTTTTTTATTCTCTTGGTGTTAATATAATATTTATTATATAAGTACAAGTCCGTCGTTGTTTCGGTTCACGGCGGCGAATGTGTACCTCAGAATTAATCAGGGTGCCTAGGGTAAGAACATAGGGCGCCAGCCACTGCACGCGCGCTTGCACGTGTCAACGTTTACGTTTCAAGAGCCCGTGCGTCGAAAACAATCACCCAGCACACTGCGACCCCCCGACCGAGAGAGGTCCCGTCACGTGCCAGGTGCGTGTGAGGGGTGGGGGTGGAGGGGGGGGCGCTCACCTGCGTAGGGGTGGTGCGGGCGGCCGTAGGAGGGCGGGAGACGCGGCACGAAGCGGCGGTTGGGCTCCGCGCCGCTGTCCTCGCCGCCG